ATGTATTATATATATATATATATATATATATATAGTAGAAAAGTTCTTATGATGCACGATATTCAGGTGTTATAGATAAAAAAGAATAATTCGACATTTAGGATGGATCCATTTTGAATGGTCTCTTGATAATCATTTAGTTGCGCGATCAATAGGCGATCGTCACTTCGACCTAAGCGCCTTCTTCCGCCTTCTGCGACTGGTCGCAGGCATTCGCTGTCGGTCGCGTTGCCGTCGACCTAAGCACTCAGTCGCAGTGAGTTGCAGTGCATCGCGTCGCGTCACATTCAATCGCAACCCGACCTAAGCCCGGCTTAAGAGTGAGTCATCCTCGCCTTGTGCTCTCTACTGTAAACTCTCTCTCAGTTCCGATACAAACCGCTTGTTCATTCACGATCTTCTATTCTACTGTGTGGTTACATTTACAATATTTTTTTAATTTATTTATTAGTTTAAAATTACCTCTTCTAGGGCCTCTCTTCTTCTTAGTTCCTTCTCTCCTCGTGGAGAATAGGATTGGCTTCTAGGGCCTACATCTGTGTTATTCATGTCTCTGCATACATGTGTTGTAAATCCAACCATAGCAATAGTATATATAGCATGTATACGTGATAATACATGCTATCAAGATGGTAATATCGGGAGTACGTATAACATGAATAAGTGATGCTACGGTGGTTAAATGTCGATCATCCCGTCACGTGTGTTTCTAGGTTCATGGACACGCACAGTGTGACACATATGCATGCACGCGTCGCCTTCCAGGCCTGTGTGCGGCCAGGCAGCTACAAGGTAGGCCCACAGACCATCGGCGCCAGTCACACGATCGACCCACACTTCAGCAACAATGAGATCGAATGGTACACGAAGGAGCGTGGCGCTACAGCTCTCTACGGACTGTTGGTGAAGGTGGAGCAGTGACACAACACGACTACAGGTGGCAGCACCTGCACGACTACAGGTGGCAGCACCTACACCCGATGACCTACAGGTGGCAGCACCTGCACGTGATGTCCTATAGGTGGCAGCACCTGAACGCGATGTCCTACACGTGGCAGCACCTGAACGCGATGTCCTACAGGTGGCAGCACCTGAACGCGATGTCCTACAGATGGCAGCACCTGAACGCGATGTCCTACAGGTGGCAGCACCTGCACGCCATGTCCTACAGGTCGTTAACACGACGTCGGCGGCGACCATCGTCACGGTGACAAGCAACCCGCCTTTGTCCGCGCGTAGTCATCTGGACAGAGGTTATTCATTCGTTCACTCGCTCACTCACTCACCCAAACTCACTCGCTCACCCACTCAGTCACTCACTTACTCACTCCTTCACTCACCCACTCACCCTCTCACTCGCTCACCCACTCAGTCACTCACCCTCTCACTCACTCACTCACTCACTCACTCACTCACTTTTCACTCACTTTCACTCACTCACCCACCCACTTAATCCCTAACTCACTCGCCACTCACTCACTCACTCACTCACTCACCCACTTATTCCCTAACTCACTCACGCACTCACTCACCCACTTAATCCCTAACTCACTCGCTCAATCACCCACTTAATCCCTGACACACTCAATCACTCACGCATTCACTAACTCACCACTCACTCACTCACTCACTCTTATTCACACATTCAATCCAAATTCGCCAATTCTGAATTGATACCAGTTACAACCGAATAAATGTCTCTCGTATTGTATGCCCCAGTTTTTGATACCTGCATACAGTATGACACTGGGCTGTGCATTTTGGTATTTTGTGTCACGAGACACAGCCACTTACTACATACTACTCCCAATAGTGTTGGCTCAATGTCAACGAGTATCTGCACAGTTTCAATGTGGAGAATGTGCCATCATAATGTTACACGCGAAATCTAAACGTCAGGGACTTTTCATTATAGTATAGTAGAATTTTCATATATATCATTTCATAGTAGAATTTTTCATCCTAGTTGCATACTGCATTTCATGTCAGACAAAAATGGGAAGAGAGGTGTTCGAGACTGGCGTGGTTTCCTTACTACACGCACAAATTACCATTATATTACTGTAAAGTAGTAGGGGTACGTTCATTGACTGCTTGTACAGATGAGGATGTGTTCTGTAATGTCCGAGTTGATTGGTGCGCGTTTCATCACTGGTCAGCATTATTCTTGAAATTGGTCACTAGTCAACGTAGAGAAGCCTATGTGCAAGAGCGAAAACAGTTGGCGATACGCGGCGTGTCAGCAAGTGCGGTCGCGTAAAACAAGGATGTTTGTATATTTATTTGTATTTACATAAGGATGAGAGTTTTCAAGTGAACAAACGAGGAGTTACTGCATAAGACATGTAGAGTGCACCACCGGTCACGACCCGCAGCGCTCGCTTAAGTCGGGAGTGCTTTGTTTCTGATCGGTGACAGTGTGTGCGTGTGCGTGTGCTCACGCATTTATGGTGGATACGTTACTGTACATGCTTGTTGTATAGATGCCGGGTACTGTGATACCGCTGTTGGAATTTAGTGAGATAGGAACCCTAGGAGCTGTGCTCGTGAACGAATCGCTCTTTCGTTGGAGGATGCACCGTTTTCATTTTATTACTTAGTTGTCTGCATGGGGGTGAAAGGTCACCCTCACGAACTGCGCACAACGTCCGGAGCACACTCCAGAGACAACCCTCACGTTTGCCGCAGTGGCTTTTAGTTGTAATATTTGTGTCTCTGTGGACAAAGGAGATGTTTTTTCGGCAATAGCTAGCGATGAAGATCGGCGCAAGATGGAGGTGTATATTATGCTCACTGCATCACATATCCGTGTTGCCGATTCACTGAGGCATCGCGTTGTCTAACATACACACCGTGTCATGTCTCAGACGCATTGCAGTGTCTCACACATGGGTCGCGTTTTGTCTCACATAGGCATCACATTGTGAGACGTATGAGACTTGCTGTCAGACAGGTGCGTCATTATGTCTCACATATCACGCTGCTGTCTCACATATATCGTGCTGCCTTTATATGCATCATGCTATTTCACATTTTGGATATGTTGTCAAACATAGGAATCATGCTGTATCACAAGGCTATCATGTCGTATCTCATATTCGTTATATTGTCTAACATTGTGATCATGCTGTCTCACATCTTGGCTATGATGTAGCACATAGTAATCGTGATGTAGCACATGGTAATCATGCTATAGCACATGGTAATCATGCTATAGCACATGGTAATCATGCTATAGCACATGGTAATCATGCTATAGCACATGGTAATCATGCTATAGCACATATTGGATATCTCACATATGAATCGCGATGTCTCGTCAAAAGTCGGGTTTGGTCCGAGTTTTTGGCGCAGCGTTTTGGCTCGGTTAAATGCTCTCAGCGACTTAGTCACATGGTAGATGTTTTTATTAGAAGTTTCTTCACGCGTGGTGTGATCATTCCTATACATAATACTCATTCACTGTTCACGTGCTTCGACGAATGCAACCACGGAAAGTTTTCTATATATCGCATGTGGCTGAATGAATGAGACCGGCTCCATCATACACTGTATGTACTGCTGAGGCATTTCTGTGTATGAATGTATTTATTTTAATTGTAAAATATAAACGATTATGAGTACTTTGTTATTATCCGTATCAGAAATCTTCTTGTAATATTTTGTTTTTTGGTTATAGGCACCCCCAGCGAGTGGTAGTGATTGCGTATTAGACACGTACGCTGCTACAATGATGTTATACACCTATATGAAAACGTGATACAACTAAAAACTATGACTGTACTTCACCTCGTGTGTAAAATCTACGGGTTAAATTAATAATGTAACAGACATACCCTTATTTATACTGGAAGTCGCTAGACAGGTACTGGTTCCTACTTCTAATATCGGTAAGAAGTCAGTAGGATCTGGTCTGTGTCAGTACACACCGACGAAACAGTGGACGAACGATTTATATATGGTATAATAGTTCTTTAATCAAAGCTTTGAGAAATAATACATTTAACAATACATACTAAATCGTGTATATAGTAAAAACGTCGGTAATGATTAAAGTTGAATCGCAGTTAATATCACAGACCCATGTATCGATATACACATTTCAAATTTAACAAAACTGTTTACCATGGAGGTATAATCGTGATCATAGCTAATTGCTACTCATAATACAGCATCGAAAGGACACTCCTGTGACTAGTTGATAAAATCAGCGTAACAAAAACATTTAGAAAAATATATAAAATTCTTAGTGGGTTTAAAATTAGAAAAGGATTTACCATCATTTTGTGATCACAGAGTTGTCATTATAATGGCCCACTACGACCGCGATCTGGTGATCATGCGCGTTATTGCGCCATCGCACCCCATGAGTCATCGATCACCGTTCCTCTCCTATGTTACTCTTAGTCAGGTCTAGGAGGAACGGGAGGAGCCTCCTCGTTGTCAGTGGATGCGCCTACAAGTGTAGTTGCAAATGCAGGCTCACTTACATGTTTGATGTAGGTATCATATAATAAGTTAATAATATAAGTTATAGTATAATATTGAATAGGAGCGTGTGGGCGGGAATCACGGGATTTAGTTTCATTGAGTTCGTCTCTGACGCTTAGGCGAAAATATTTGCCGAAACCTTAGCAGTGACTAGTAATTAGCAGTGACTAGTTAGAACTTAGCAGTGAACGACTAGTTTCGACTCGTGGTGGTCTCATCGGGACCGTCTAACTTTGGCGTCGTCTCGATGGACGATACTGAGGATCATTGCTCTCTCATACATATACTCTTGTGTATGAATAGTGTATACATAGAATAAAATATCACCGGGGTGCGAAATTTTTTTCCCCACGAGAGTTCCGGACACCAGCCAATCAGCGCACTTCATTCACTCGACTTCCTCGAAGCAACAATGTAAAATTTATACACCCTAACCCTAACACTAACTATAATACAACCAGGTTTGTCTTATATACGCACTATATATTACAAAACACTATCTGTGGTGGGTCCGGAACTCTCGTGGGAAAAAAATATATGATGTACTCGCGGCCCAATGCGTGGTTACAATACGCACAAGGCGCTTTGCTAATACATCACCCGACCTTCGCATTTTCTCCTTTATTAGACCTACCTGGAGGTGTGGGGAGCCCGTCCTTGGGGTTGCGCTTTGCAGGCTTTAAGCTGGCGTTCAATTTACTGTCTTCAGCGGGAGTGGTCGGTAGTATGTCCCGCGGATCTCTGCGTGCGCATGATCGTAAATATCTCACTCATCATTCAAACTCATTAGTAGTCACGCAAAGTTTAGCAGATGTATGTATACGATTATTAGATGTCTTTTGATATAAAGGCAGAGACGGCATGTACTCGGTTTGCCAAGGATGAGAGAGAGAGAGAGAGAAAGAGAGAGAGAGAGAGAGAGAGAGAGAGAGAGAGAGAGAAAGAGAGAGAGAAAGAGAGAGAAAGAGAGAGGGAAACAGATTTGATTCTAAATATCTATGATACTAACCAACTGCAAAAAAAATTTACTTACATTTACCGATCCTAATCGAGACACTATTTCCCCCTTACACCCAGTTTGCGTGATCGTAAATAGATTACGTATATAAAAGAAGATAGACCGTCATCAATACAAACCTCTTTAACGACCGACGCGACCACGTCGACGACCTCCGCTGGGTGAGCTTGCTGCCACCTATGTGCGGACCGACGACGCCGTGCGAGTCGAGCGGGAACTTCTGGTACGTGAACCCGATCGGGATTTCTCCCGTTAGTTTCTTAGAGGCCTCGTTGGGACCGACGCGAGTCGTGAGTTCTAGACTGTCGACGACGTAAACCTCGACGATGACGTAGATCTTCCTCGCCTGCTCCAGCCCTGCATGTGACACATAGCAGTGATTGATTACATAAAAGCTTTGTAGGCTAATTGCCAGCTTATTGTTGTTAATCCTTGCGTAACCTTGCGTTAACCTTGCGTAATCGGTTGAGAGCAGTTATGCTAATGGGAATCAGTTTTTGCTGGGCCAGAAAGAAAGGTAGATATAAGTACTGGCATAGCATCCAGGGATATCAGAATGCAATTTTGTGGTTGTGAGATTCCAGGCAACAGAATTAATGTTGTTGATTGAAAAAATTAGTACGAGCTCAATGCCTATATTAATATCTGTTATTGTCGTGTATAGCCTACAAATAAATAAATAAACGAACGAATAAATAACTAAATTATTTATTTATTTAATTAATTAATACAGGATTTATTGCTGACACAGCAGAAGTTTACCAACATCTCCATTCACACACAGACACACACGAGCGCGCGCGCACACACACACACACACACACACACACACACACACACACACACACACGCGCGCGCGCACGCATGTTGGACGTCTGTGAGAGAGGTATATAATGCGCGCATGCGTGTGTGGGCATATAACCCCTCATTTCTTCATTTTGTAATGGGAATATTTTGTGGTTAAAAAGTTAGTGCAAAATGTTTTTTTTACGGGTTCAACAATGTCACGAGCAATATTTCGAAAACCACCAAACGTTTTGTCACGTTACCTGGGCACGCCATATCCAATACGAGGTCACCTTGGTTCATCGTTAGCGGCGATATATTTTTTCTGCATCCGTTTAATTTCAATTTGATGGACTTCATCACACCGTTCTGCGTGTCCTCGATGTTGAGCGAGTATTGCTGGTTCAGATTCTGCTCTTCGGTGATCGGTTGCTTACAGTGCCCCAGCATCTTCGCGTTCGTCTCCTTCTTCGACACGACCTCGTCAAGATGGCCGATGACACGATAGGAGTACGGCTTGCGCATGAGCCGATTGAAGGTGCCCTTGTCCTCCTTAACGACTACGTGAAGCAGGTTGTAGCTGTGCGCCTCGGCCAGGAAGGGAACCATGATGACCCCAGCGCCGAAAAAATCCTCGCCGACTTTCTCCTTAACGATACTCCAGGTCAGCGACGGGTCGCATCCCGTGAGCTCTGCGTACGTGTGCGCGTCCATTAGCGACGGCGGGTAGATGCTGAGTATCTGTAGATGTTTGGCAACGACCGAACGACGCTTCATGAGCACGCGCGCGCTGTCACACACGTTCGTCTGCTAACTTGCCTTTGGGCGACCCGAACGGTGGTCGCCTTGGTAACGGGGGAGTGACGCGAAGCTGTTTCATTGCGTCACTGCACAATGGAGGAATGACAAGACAAGGCTGCGCGCGTGTTGCCTAGCAACCTAGCTAGGACTGTAACTCGCAGCAAACTCGCTGAAATTCGCGAGTGAATAACTTGAAAACGTCTTTCCGGCGCGTAATGCGGGCGTACTGCATGGTGCACTGAATCGCGCGTGTTCTATAGAGCAATCTCGGTGCATGTCATTCTAAAACCAGATCGCTAACGAAACGTCTCCACTAACCATTCATCGCAAGAGAATATTTGATGCAGGTATCGCCGCAGTATCCGGGACAGATGAACAGTGCGTACACGGGTGACCTTCCCCCGCCGCCTGCCTACGATGAAGCCGTGACTAACAACTACGCCACGCAGTATTCCTCGCCTCTAGGCACTTCATTCGGAATTAACCAAACAACAGGAGAGGACGCGGGAAATGTAGCAGTTCCACCGGCGACGGTGCCGGCAGCGGGTGGCCGCGTTGGAGCGGGAACATTACGTTTTGCTCAGTTTATAAACGGATTTCTCCCTGCTTCCTTTATTGCTGTGGTAAATATCTTTATTTGCTTCACGTACCATAAAAAGGGTTCGATATGCACGTATAATATATCCTATTGCATCAACGAATTCAGAAAGTGTGGTATAAACTGACGTCCTGAACTTTAAATTGGAAGGAATAGCCGTAAACCGAACGACAGTGTGTGCATGACAACAGAGACGGTTCAGAAAAAAATTAGAGAGAATGAAATAATTGCAAATCGAAGAGAAGTGTGTGACAACAGAGTCAATAGAGTCAGAGTGTCATAGTATGCGAAATACAGAACGATTGAATCTAGAAGACGATATAACTCTCATAAAATAAATTACAAATATGGTTTATAATTGTTTATGTTAACAGGCAGCAGGAGCGAACCCCGAAACAGCTATAAAAGATTATAGAATTGAGGCAATATTGTGTTGCGTCGTATGTTTTCCCTTGGGAATTCCGGCCCTGTGGTATTCAAAAAAGGTATGTAAGAACGGGAGGAATACATATGTAATATTTTTGCTGCATTATAAATATATGTAAATTAAGCCAACATAAACATGAGAATTTCAGAGTGAAGTGGCACGTGGAATCTAGTGAAACAGATAGGCGGCAAACGTGTAAAAACACTTTACTACGCGATGGAATGCCGATAAAAAGGCCCTACAATACTATTACTATAACTATACTACACAACAAATCCCTACTACTTCTCAACGATATATTTTTGTTATTATCACAATATCGCTGCTGTTCTACCACGCACATGCGTGGAATGAATAATCTAATCAAATCGTCAATAATCACTTTGCGTATGTTCGTTGATGCTGCTACTATTACTAGGTATTATTATAATACTGCCATAAGGAGTAAATTGTTAGCTACTAACTCTACATGAACGTGGTTTACAGGTGAGAAAGAGCGTAGGTGAAGGAGACTTCGACGCTGCGCGACGCTACTCCTCACGGGCTAAATATCTGTCAACTGGCGGCATCCTCATCTGTATGATGCTGATCTCCTGGAAGGTGGCTACTGGCGGATTGTTTTCAGAGACATGGAATGAAGACGGTGACTCAGAGGAACACGAGTTTGTAAACTGGACAGAGGAAATCAGAGATGAGATTTACGATTAAAGACGATTTATTTTGTGGAAAGTCACGTTATTGTTGCAGTTTTATTTGCAATGTCTTGCAAATAATAATAAAAACTTTGTAAATAATCGCACTAGCAACTAATTCACCTGTCCTATACTCACTTGCTAAGATTGACAATCAGTTCTAGCCAAACATTGTTGCGATTAGACGTTCAAGAAAGTTCTTGGGAACAAAGTGTCACAAAGTAGACATTTTGATGTGCACAAAACTGGTGTTGGTCAGCTAACTTAGAAATAGTATCCAAATGGGACATCTATCCTACCCAGATGGACTGGACAATTGTTTTTTAATATATTAAAATGACATATCATGGGAATCAATGTTCTTTCACACCTGTTTTATATTTTTACTTGCGATTTTATTCATAGCTATTTTATTCAGCATTTTCAGAGAATCATATACATTGTATAAACCCACGATAGATGTCTCAATAAAATGAACAATTCAGTGTCAATTAATGTTATATATAGCTGCGTTCACACGTATACACGGCTTAGCTGGTACCGTACTTAGTTAGTGCTAAGTCCGGTTAAAATGCGTTCACACGAGATACACGAGATTCGAGGCTTAGCTAGCTAGGTATAATATAGACTGGTATCCGGTCGACAGTTCCACACGCTACCCTAACGTCGTGCAGGGAACGGGTAGAAGTCTAGGATAGAGCGCTACAGTTTCGCAATTCACACGAACAATGCGTTCACAATGCGCGAACAACACGAACAATGCTTTCACACGACAATCAATACGCGGCCAGCGTGGTGCCGAATATACGCGGCTTAGTTGGCGCAGAATATGATTCCGCGCTAAGCAAGCCGTGGCTAAGCAAGCCGCGTATATTTTAGCGTGTGAACGCAACTAAACTCCTCGTGTGAACGCAGCTTATGATTTATTTTTAAATTTTACCCACAATTTATCTGTGAACAGATGAAATCATAATAATGAAAACACATGACCATGTATTGAGTATATAATCTTGCGTAAGCTAACACAATGGATATTACAAGGACACATTTTGTTATCACTTTCATTCAGATTGTAGATGCTCCAAAAAATAGCCAATGTTCATGCAACAAAAATGCCTCATGCATTGATAGTGATTCTCATGAGCAGAAACATCCTGAATTCACTCCCCATTGTTTGCACACACGTATCAACATCGCTCTCCCGCACCTATACTTGTCGTTCATCCTCACTTGCTCTTGCAGTATGACAGAATCTTATCCACGATCTGCATGTAGGCCGCAGTGGCCGGAGAGTCAGGCGCTTCAGTAAGAAACGACTTGCCCTCATCGCAGCAACGACCGATGCGCGGATCGAGAGGGAGTGCCCCGAGAAACGGCACGCCCATATCAGCGCACATCTTCGCCGCGCCTCCCGTCGTCGGAGGAAAGATCTGCGACTCCGTCTCGCACTTGGGGCACACAAACCGGCTCATGTTCTCGACGACGCCGATGATCGGCAGCGCCACCTTGCGGCAGAAGTTGATCTCCTTGCGCACGTCGAGCAGCGCGACCTCCTGTGGCGTCGTCACGACGACGGCGCCGTCGACCTCGCTGCCGCGGAGGTACTGCACGAGCGAGATGTGCTCGTCGGAGGTGCCCGGCGGCGTGTCGACGACAAGGAAGTCCACCTCCCCCCAGTCGACGTCGCGGAGGAACTGTTTGATGATGCCGTTCTTCTTCGGCCCACGCCATATCACCGCGTCGTCGGCGCGCGCGAGAAGGAAGCCGACCGACATCACGGAGAGGTTGTCCGTCACGTAGACGGGCGACCAGCCCGAGCCGCTCTGGTGCACCTGCTCGCCCTCGACGCCGAGAATGCGCGGCGCCGACGGCCCGCACACGTCCACGTCGAGCAGTGCCACCTGGCGGTCGTCGCGGCCGTCGGCGAGCGCGCGTGCGAGGTGCGCGGCGACCGTGCTCTTGCCGACGCCGCCCTTGCCGGAGAGAACGAGCAGCTTGTGGCGGACGGACGCCATGCGCTCACGCACGAGCTCAACGTCCGGGTCAGGAGCGGCCGCCGCGCCGGACGCACACACGTTCTGGTTCGGACACCCCTCACAAGAGGGCGCCTTCCCGGCTGCTTCGCTGCTTGTACCTGGGCAGTGCTCCGGGGCATTGTCTGGTACGTCTGCCATCTTGCGTTAGCGGTGTCTTGCAGATAATTCCACGACTGAAGTGATATGTCTTCAGGGACTTATCAGGTAGATTTGTTGGAACTTGAGAAAGCTTATCACCAGCTTATCACCAGCTTATCGAGTGATGAAATGTTTGCGTATCCACGTCACTAGCAATCTACTGCTCCTTCTGCACTTTCAGGTCGTCTTTCTCGATAAATGCGACGTACACAAATGCAGCCAATACCGCGTTGACAGCGAGGATTGCACAGATTGCTGGGTAGATAGAGTTCAAGGGTGGGGCTGAATTCAGCCAGTCTGTAAAATAAATCACCACCAAATAAATACTTTGCCTTTGGTACATAATTATATAATGGTTTTAAAATGTTACCATATTTAGATAGAGAGATAGGGAGATAAACAAACAGATCAAATCTGTGAATATGAGTGAAAATGTGGTTTTGCAATTGTTCAGGTTTCTACTTACCATCAAATATGTACTTTTTTGAAGTGAAATAGACGACGATGGGTAAGATTACCATTAGGATACTAAATGACACCAGTTTGCCTATTGCGTTACCAGTAGATGTCCTGAAAAAAACATGAAAAAGTTAATAATAGCAACAAATAATTAGCAGACTGAGTACTATTACTACTACTAGTACTAGTACTAGTAATAGGGTATAATTAGCTCTAGTACTATAGCCCGCGAATAGCTGCCTGCTTGCTGCTTGCTTTAGCTGCCTGCCGCTTGCCGCTTGCCCTAAGCTATCCGCGGGCTATAGTACTTGAGCTAGGGTATAATCAACTAACAGCACTTGACAGTGTGACCTCGCTTACAAAGTATAGCCATAGGCTATGAGCGACGGTGACACCGACTGTGACTTTGATCCTGAAATTTATCACTAACGACAAGTGTGGTTTCTGCAATTATTACCCACGTATAGACATTGTTCACGATATTATTAACCAGTTGAGTACAACTAAACAACAATTTGTGGTTTGTTATTATCTTAGAACTGCGAAGAACTACATCGCACATACATATCGAGGATGTCACCATTTAACATTGGTCGATCGCAGCGCCGAATCGGGAAAATTCACACACGTACAAGCGCCATGTTTGGGTTACAGGCCTGAATGTCATGTTACTCATGTACCGTATATGCCCTTCCAATGTTAAGAATATATTCATATATTCCACCCGGAATCTATGAATTGAGAAGTTTTATTGTGTGTGCGTGTGTGGTGGCTAAGGTGTCTGTTCTGTTTCCTCGAAATACATAGCAAACACGGGGGTGGGGGGGCATCTCTCGGCTGCCCGAAAAGGGGGCGTGAGCAGTGACAAGTGGGCATCTTTAGTCGTAATGTCTAGTCGAGGAGGATGTAGTTTGAGTAGAGGAATTTCGTTGTTGTGTTGTCCGTAATCGTCCTTCTGTCTTCAGCTATCGCTGGACAAGTTTAAACTACAACACGTGTCACCACTATATCGGTAAGCTATTTCTGTTATCCGGCTTTGCAATTTTAGTGATTTGTGCTTAAAAGTACTTAATTCGGCACCGCGTTAAACTTGTCAACAACAAAATACTCACGGTGAAATTAAATAGGGCCTACTGCATCATGGGCTTATTATTGCAATGTTATTGCAAGCGTATTAAAAACTAATGCACTTGATTGGCAATTAAAACTAAACATAGATACGATTCTACACGAATAGTGCGGATTAATTTTATTTACACACAAAGGAAGTGGCTCATCTCTACTTCGTTTTTGGCTTTGAACTTCTCAGAACTAGAACTTAGAAGTTCATCTGTGCGTAAATTTGATCCTTTATCACATAAACTAATAAAAAGTAAAACTTATAATTGTCACACATTAGAAGTAAGTGCTACTACTTTTTGTGTATTTACCTGACTGTTATATAGCTAAATATTTTATTCTTTCTTTTATTTATTTGCGTATTGTTTGCGATATATCCATTAATAATTATTATGTGTAGATAATCATGTGTTTTCGAATTTTTATATACAACCACACTATACACGGTGTAGCACTGCCATGGCACTATAGTACTAGTATAATATGGAACTACATAGCATGTGAATTCTGTGTGTAGCTGGTTCGGTAGCCTTAACGATCACTTCACAAAAGTTGCACTTCTTTCTCTACAGTCAACTTTGAAACTGGTTCTTTTCTCTTTTACATGTATCGTAAACGCACTGTGTGTACCTGATCAATAGACCGAATAATTCTGTCCCAGATAACGTTTTATATTTTGTATGTGTTATACCAGTATAACGCATCCATAATATGAAACGTTATCTGGGACAGAATTATTCGGTCTACCTGATCAACTGCACTCTCAAGGTGAATAGGTCTACAGTGTGGCACATTCTTATGCTGGTTTTAATAGTGGTTACTCCAGTTCCTAAATGTGTATATACTGCTGATTGTCTCAGTGGTGCTAGTGCAATGTGTCTTATTCATCCATTTACTTGCACAATTGTACACAGTCAATATATCAGGGTTCTCACCAGGTATTTAACACATGTTGGGTGTGACATCCCTTTAAAGCTATAGCTAATTTGCATACGTAATTGATTCCAATTGATACAACTCTCACCCGGCCCTGCTCCCATTTGTCTGTAAACGACATGCCTTCTGAAGTTCTTGGGGAGAACTCTGTATATCATATTAGGAGTGAATGAAAATGAATTTTAAAGAAAACAATTCCATTTACTCCTGATCATGCGTGCGTGCATTGTGTGCGTGCGTGCATGCATTGTGTGTGTGCGTGCGTGCGTGCGTGCATGCATTGTGTGTGTGCGTGCGTGCATGCATTGTGTGTGTGCGTGCGTGTGCGTGCGTGTGTGCGTGCGTGTGTGTGTGCGCGTGCGTGTGTATCTATGTGTCTGACTCTAAATGTTGCTACATCCAGCATCTTCTTTGATCATTCTTGCAAGTACAGTACTGAAGTGTCCAGAGTTCAGGCTTTGGCCAGGTACACTTACCCAGGTTTTGGACAGGTCGCGTGAGTAAGCGAGATAAGATAGCTGCATGGCAATCACCTGTTCCTGTGCTTTGTCAACAAAAGTGGAATCGTGGGAACTGTCACGCAACCGTTGTCACACTGTGTTCCCGCCAGCGAAAGGTTAACGCTCCATTATCAGTAGTGCGGATGCCTCAATGGCGTGTATGCATCCGTTTAATGCGTGTGCATAGGAAAGCGGTGTTTGCCCGTATTCGTTTGCTTGTATGCGGCCACCCGTGTATTCAGGAGTGAATAAAAACAAATCTGTTTTCATTCACGCTTGCTGTGTTGCTGTTTGTTACTAAACATGCATGTATGTATGCATGTAAGTGTCTGTTGTGGAGGAATCACCTCACAGTTTATGCTAGCAGCATTATACCCCGCATATAGTTATTAGGGAGTAGGCAGTCGATGACATTGATATAATCAGGAGTGTATCAAACTTGTATATACAAAATATTTTGATACACTCCTGATATAATCTAGACTAAATAACAACACGATGTATGTTAGGGGATGTGTTAGGTTGGCAGAAGTCAGTCACGGAGGTGTAATACACTATGTGATGCGATGAGATTCTGCTATAGGCCAGCAAAGCTATTGGTGTGTTCTTCGAATGGCAGTGGAGGCATTCGGTTTCATAGTTTGTCAGCACACTTGGCACAGCCAGAAATGTGAATCTAAGGAGCAGTTAGTAGCAAGGTAATTACAGATTATTGATTTACTGCTATGCTGTACATTCCACTGGAGTTGTTTACACGACATACTCAGAATCTTCAAATAGAATTTGCCGAAGGTGCGGTCAAGTGGAATAGAACAGGGGATATATACATGTCTATATATATGTATAATATAATTCTTATACAGTCAGGAGTTAATCAAACAAACGCTCTTTATTTCCGTCTGGTAATATACCTGACATGTTTTGCGTATTTGACTTACAATGGAACAATAATTATTCTGTGTTTATATGTGTCAGCGTTACATAATCCAACCACGTGGCTGCTTCTGGTGTTAATCGTGTTCTATGTGTGTAACGGGTGATTTTCGTGTTAAACTTTAGCTTCAGCACGTCATCACTGCTCGCGCGCTCCAGTTTTGCGTCGCGTTACCCCACAGCTGGGACAGCAGGACCGGCGCGGCACGCACATGTACGCGTGTACACACACACACTCGCGAACACTCTCGCGTGTATTACGGCGTGTACGCGCGCACAGCCGTATCTGCCAGCTGTGAAATCCATGCGATATAACCGGAGAGCTCGGTGATCCCGACCAGCGTCATGTGCGCCGTCGTGGGGGAGCCACGGGAGTCTCTCTCTCTCTCTTTCGCTCGCTCGCTCTCTCTCGCTCTCTCTCTCTCTGTCTCTCTCTCTCTCTCTCTCTCCTCTCTCTCTCCTCCTCTCGTCTCTATAGGCTCGCGCTTCTCATCTCTCTGCCTCTCTCTCCTCTCAGCCCCTCTTCTCCTCTCTCTCTCTCTCGTCTCTCTCTCTACTGCTCTCATCCTTGCGTCTGCTGTCTCCTCTCGCCTAGCCGTCACTGGCTCTCATTACTCTCTTTCATATTTCTCATCTCAGCTCTGTCTCTCTCTCTCTCTTCTCTCCTCTCCCTCTCTCATCTCTCCTCTCACTCTCTAGCCTCTCTCTCCCTCTCTCCGCCTCGCGCTCTCCTTCTAACTCGATCTCTTCTCCACCTTCTCTCCCTCTCTCCTCATCCTTCTCTTCCCTCCCTCCCTTCTCGCTTCTCCTTGTCTCTTTCGCTACCCATCTCATCCTCCCTCGCCTCTCTCCGGACTTCTCGTCTCTCTCTCCTCTGTCTTCTCCCGTGTCCGCCTCTCCCTGTCCTCTCTCTCGCTTCCGCTTGTCCTATTTCTCTCGGTCCCTCTCGTTCTCTCTCGTCCTCTCGTCATCGTCTCCGTCTCTGCCCCTCTCTTCTACCGCCTATCTCTCCCCCGTCTACTCTCCCCTCTCTCTCCCCCTCTCTCGCTCGCTCGCGCGCACACGTGGCGAGGGGAGGAGGTCGCTGAGCTGTTAGTACAGATGCACGTCTTTGTGTGTGGACTGCCTGCAGAAAGCATGCAGGCCTGCAGGGTGGGTGAGCACTGAGCGCGTTACTCAGACCGCTGGCGTTCTCGCGGGGGGTTATGCGTCTGCTGTAAAAAAGACGCGATCGGTGGGATAGCGAGCTGTGGCTGATTCGCGTCAGAATGCACTCTGGCGTAGAGCTGGCTGTATTAATAGCAGCGGGTTGGTGTGCAAGCGAGATGGCCCTCTCCTGAGTTGTTTTTAAATATCACGGCTTTCTTCTCGCTGATATATCTAATGCCATGGGGTGTACGTGTGTGTGCGATTGGGTGGGATGAAGGGGTATTCATGTCTGTGCGTGCGTGCGTGCGTGCGTCCGTGCGTGTGCGTTGCTTGAATAAAGCAGTTAATTGGAACAAAGCAGTGAAAAGGATGAAGTGAGAAGGAAAACAGAGAGACAGACGGGAGGAGAGAGAGAGATAGAGAGAGAGAGAGACAGCGAGCGAGAGAGAAAGAGAGAGACAGAGACAGAGACAGACAGAGAGAGAGAGAGAAAGAGAGTGAGAGAGAGAGAGAGACAGAGAGCGAGAGAGAGACAGAGAGCAAGAGCGAGAGAGAGAGAAAAAAAGAGAGCAAAAGAGAGACAATTATTATACGCGACGCCTGATGCGACTGCTAACATGGATGAGATCACCGCAGCACGCTGCTATTCGGACGGATATTTCGCATCGATGCGTCATCCTCACTACTGGAGGTCTTCGGTGTGCTACTGCTCCCTCTGAGCGCCACTCACAGCCTCGTCAGAGGTGGCGCCAGCGTGTACCAGTAGCGACTACCAGCAGCAAGCATCACATGCACCCATTCCTAGTTTAGCACCCCGGATTAGCTTAGCATAAAGAGCTAATAAATACCCATTTAGCTCTTGTTATTAGGTATTTATCAGCTCTTGTTAGCATATATATGCGAAGGGGTCCCAAACTAGGATTGAGCAGCATCACACATTAGCGAGTAATCGCAGCAAGCATCTCACGTGCCCGCATCCTGCTTCAGGTGTGCAGCTTCCTCCCTGGCAACCAGCATCTTCCTCCCCGGCAACCAGGAGAAGCTGCGCGATGATGGTTAGAAGACGGTGATGACGACGATGATGGCGGTGCAGTCGGTGAGTCTGCGTGATTTCCTTCTGGAGGCTGAGCTGCAGCAGTACCACAGCGCCTTTACGAAGGACCTCAAGGTGACGACCGTGCAACAGCTGAAGGTACCTACTGTATTCCTGTATGTGGCATCCGTGAGTTATCAGGGGGAGGTTGGTGTATTTCCGCGTTGCTAAGGCATGCGGCGGTGCGGCTGGCGGTGTTTGAGGACGAATCATTTATGTTTATTTGCTTAGCTGTGATTTGCGTGATTGTGGATAATGTTTATTGATTGTGGTGGTCCAATTATAGATAAAAATTGGCTATAGATGTGCATGTAAAGAGACCATGAAAACCTAAACGTAAATTTAAAAACTTCTGTTTGTCAAGCTAACTTGCGTTGAAGAACATATATGGAGTTTTTCATTATGGCTTGTAAATATCTGATAGCTGCATCACTATTTATTTAAAAAATATGCCAGATTTAAATTTATATGTACCCAAGGCCCTAAAATTGCCCCATTAACTATATATCTAAATAGCATTTGCTGTGAACAATTTTATGCACTAATAAACGTATGCAAGCATGTATTTCAAGCAAAGCTGTATACGTATCATGCGAGTTTTAGAACCCAATCTTTGGATTCAGACCTTCTTATGCATCCTTCTTCTTCCCCTTCCTCTTAATCTATCACCACTGATCTCCCACACACGTAGCCCGACCAGGCTGTGCGACGGATTGTCTATACAGTCCGCCCTTCTAACATACATTTCTACATTAGCATAACATACATTTCTAACCCTAGCAATACCGTTTCTTGGGGCTACCACACACGTAGCTATGTCGTTCTTGTATTGTATGTATAGCAGGAGTAGATAAAGGGAAGGAGTGTGACTTCAATAAACAAGGGAAATTCGTCATTTACTAGCCTTATAATACCTACGATTTACTACGCGTAACTCATCCAACTTGAGCTCAAATCGGACACAGTACATTTGCCCATCATCGTACCAAATCGTTTCCTCGTAGACACCCGCAATCCGGAGATACAGACTAAAACATACGACACGATTCTCCATTCTTTGGCCAATAAATTCACCGCATAGAGCGCCTATACTTCAAACAAAAGGCAGCTACTAACCACACTGTCCACGGGGCTTGCGCTCACGGCGAGGCGCTGTGGCTCGCAGGGAGTTGCTGCTGATAGCGGATTGGCGTGTGTGCGTGCCGGCATGCCGGTATGACATACAGGCATACATTGTAGCTGTCTACCGGGTCAAAGGTTATCTCGCCGAGTGTTGCGTTGATGCCTAATCACCCTGCTAGCCACAGCGCCTCGCCGTGAGCGCAAGCCCCGTGGACAGTGTGGTTAGTAGCTGCCTTTTGTTTGAAGTATAGGCGCTCTATGCGGTGAATTTATTGGCCAAAGAATGGAGAATCGTGTCGTATGTTTTAGTCTGTATCTCCGGATTGCGGGTGTCTACGAGGAAACGATTTGGTACGATGATGGGCGAATGTACTGTGTCCGATTTGAGCTCAAGTTGGATGAGTTACGCGTAGTAAATCGTAGGTATTATAAGGCTAGTAAATGACGAATTTCCCTTGTTTATTGAAGTCACACTCCTTCCCTTTATCTACTCCTGATTGTATGTATAGTGATATTAGTGTACGAGTTTGAAAGTCTAAGCCGCCTCTATTTTTCCCGTCTTCTCTCCCATCGCTCTAAACGTAGTTGTGTCAATCCTCCGTGTTAGACCCACTTCACGTGCTGTCTCACCATGCCCACCAGTTGTGTCATCTGTTTGACCCTCCTCCTCAACGCGTTCCCTCCCCTAACCCCTTCATCTCACTATCGGTTTGTTAGTCATCAATGTGTTAGACCCGCCTGCTCTTTCATCACGTGCCTCCCTGTTGTTTTGTCTTTGTTGGACCCTCTTCTCTTGTCATGTCTTTTCCACCAGCGGTTGATGAGTCATCCACATGTTAAGCTTCTCCTCTAACATCTGTGCCAGCAGCAGCTGGTGTGTAGTGTTGTGTACTTGTTAGACAATTCCGCTCTCCCACTCCTACCCACACAGCGTGTTAGACAATTCCGCTCTCCCACTCCTACCCACACAGCGTGTTAGACAATTCCGCTCTCCCACTCCTACCCTTGCAGTTTATGAGAAGTCTGTGTCTTAGAGCTTCATCTCAGCATCCGTCCCAGCAGCCGTTGATGCTGGGAAAAAATTTATTTTTCGAGGGCTACTTTTCAAGCTCGCGTGCATGAAAATAGCAAATTTGGTTTGCATTGAACTCTATGCAAATTTACGGGGGCTTTTTTTGGCATTTCGGGGGCTAAATCTCCCCAAGCCCCCGTGTATTTTTTTCACTGCGTTGATGATTCATCAACATGGCTTCTCCTGCGTTTGTTCTACAGTACGTGGACGATGAGGATCTGATGCTCATCGGCATGACGAAACCAGAGATGAGGAGGCTGAAGAAATTCTTCCAGAAGGAGTATCCACAGGGAACACTGGGAAGGTTCCGGAAGGTTAGTAGATATCGCTGTGCCAGTAGGTGGCGCTGCCTGTGCAATCAAGGCAGATACTGCGAGGTCCGAGGCTTTGCTATGTAAAGCTACTGCTAAGGCAACTTGTCGGCAAAGATAGGGGTGTCACCATTATATTTCTAACTGGAGTTCGAATGTAACAAGTGTCAAGATTCGTGTTATCTATTTGTTTCACTTGAGTTCTGGATATATGCCATGGCAGATGAAATACGAACGTAAACCTTGAAGTTTCTTTTCTTGGTGTTCGACTGCCTTTAAAGTTATTCCGGCCGTTGATTAACCGCCAGTGTCACCCTAGACTGATCTGCAGTCCAGTGTGTGATCTACTGTGTGTGGCTGTTTTTGTGCAAATGCGTGGTGTCACACAATGCAGCTGGGCCGGTCTAGTGTTACAGGGAATGGGGGAGGTTTACAAGACTGTGCACATAGACCGTAGTTTGAATGATCAAATGCGCGAGCGTTTGTGGAGAGATGCCATAAAAACGAGGCTACGTGAGGAAATGCACAGCACAGGGACATGCACAGGCACCCACACGCACACGCACGGACACACACGCGCGCGCGCGCGCACACACACACACACACACACACACACACACACACACACACGACACACACACACACACACACACACACACACACACACACACACACACACACACACACACACACACACACACACACACACACACACACACACACACACACACACACACACAC